CAAAGGCCCAGTAGTCCATAGTACCGTTGATGTGGGCGAGTTGCTCGTCGGTCAGGGACTTTGTCAGCGTGGCGTTCATCTTGGGCGTGTTGAGGACCACTTCGGGGAACTGCTTCCCCAAGAAGAGGGGATTGCTCATGATGCCGAGAATGAAGTCTTGGTGGCGGTAGGAAGCTGCGACGTCGTCTGGGTTGCCCGGGTCCAGAGGCACAGCAAGGTTGTTTGCGAACTTCATGGTGATCTTGCCAGTACCGCCGAGAACGTCCTTGTACCAGCGATAGACGTCGGCGTGGGCGAGGAGGAATGCAGTCAAGCCATCATAGCTGGGCAGGGTGAATTGCACGGCGATGTTTGGCTCGTTGAAGGTGACCCAGTAAGGCACTCTATCCGCATACCGCGCCATGACTTGCTTGGCATAGTAGGCATAGTGACTCGGGAACTCGTCGAGATTGTCAAAGATGCCAACGGGGTTGTCTATGTGCATCAACGTTGCGACCGGAGTGATGCCGTACTCTATGCAAGTGTTGATCACGTCGTCGTAGTGATCCAACGCCTGCTGGTTGACCGGCGAACCTGCTCTGCCAAAAGGCACGACACGAGTCCAGGAGATGGAGAAGGAGAAGTACGGGACACCGAGAGCCGCAAGCCTCGCGATGTCCTGCTTGTACAGGAAGTAGTGCATGTCTGCAACATTCGAGTCATTAGTACCGAGCAATCCCTGGCCGTTGACGCCAACAACGTCAAGCACAGCAGGGCCGCGCCCCTCGACTTGGAGACCTCCCTCGATCTGCCATGCACTGGCAGCCACGCCCCATACAAAGTCGGAAGGGAACTTGAGGTCGATGTTGTCATTGAGGGGTCTGGCGGGCAGTTGAGGGGGGTATACTAGCTCGCTGGACGGGATGGGTGTCGGGGATACGGTTGTCGTGAAGGGAGGCTCATGCGTGTAAGTGTAGTTTGCCCAGAGAGCGGCGTAAGCGCTCTGGCCGTACTGGCCATCGGGGGACGCTGTAGCCGACGGGTTGAAGGCATATGTCGTGTAAGTAACATTATCTGGCAACAATGTCGAAACCTCGGTAAAGTGTGGTGCGTATGGGGTTGCGATGGTCAGAGGAGATGGCAGCGGTGTCGGGTATCGGTTTACCGTCAGCTGTTCATACGTAAAGGTGCTGTAGGACCACGAAGTTGCTGCAGTTGGCCGGACGGTTGTCGATGGAGCACCGGAAGTCTCGAGCACAGCGGCATATGCCCCAGTCAGGGAGACTGCTGCTAGACCCAGATATGCTTGCAGCATTGTCATGATCTCTGTTTGACTGACTACTTGCAACGCAATTGAGCTTGCAGAACATCAGCCATCGAGGCGAACGGGATATGGAAAGCTGGACATGAAGTCTCTTATATACAAGATCAATTGAGGCACTATTGCCCGAAGCCTGCCATAAGCAACCGTATTCAAGCTGTCGACCGGATATCCCGACGATCCAATGCCAATTTCCTTTACACCCCACACTTTGAGCAGTTCCCCAAATCCCCGCACATGCAAACGATGAATAGTCGCATTAGGCCATGTAAACCAACGAATTGCAGGTCACATTCAGTCACTTGCGGAGTGCGAGATCTGGGGTCTGGGGTACCTTTGCAACCCATCCCGGCGAGCACTCCATCCCGGCTTTCGGTTCGGGAGGCGTCGTCCAGCGCCAGAAACCCGAAGTTGTCAGTCTCCTCGTACAAACAAGCCTGACGTATCGACTTACTGTGGAAGTGAATTTCGAGCCATGATGGGTAAGGAATGGGCAATGAGAACCCTTTTAACCGGACTTCAGAAAGAACAATTTACAGATTAGCCACTCATTGAAGAGTTGCAAAAAGCGGATGTCGAGCTAAGAGAGATTCGGGAAAGGCAAACACAAGAGAGAAAATCGAGGTCTATTCATGGAACGGAGCGGTTCATGGGATGAACAGTCAGATGATGCACTGACCTGTAATAGTCCGAGCCGAGGAGGATGGCCACCATGGATCTCTATCCATCCGGGAATCCACACATCACCCGCGTACTTACTGTATACAATCGGCCCTAAAGTGGATCGAAGCTCCCCCACACCCGGAATATCCAAGAATCTCTCCCCGAACCATCGGCTGGGCTGCGGTAACTTGTGAGCTTCTCAATAACCTTGATCGACCTTACCTTACTGTGTAGCTAAAGAGGCACATGCTCGGAACATGACAACGGATCAAGCTTGAGGCCGACACAACGGTAAGCTTCGATTAACGTCTTACAGTTCTATTTACTGCTAGTGGCAAGGAATGCTACTTGCGGGAGTCGTTGCCATTCTGGTAAACACTACACGTGCTTCGTGGAAAGTAGCCCACGGTCCAAAACTTCACAGCGTATACCATACCTGATCTTCGCCGGTAGAGTCTCAGACCATTGAACGTGCTCATCGGACCAAAGCCAAAAATCTTTCTACCGAGTGAACTCTCTTGATTAATCTAGTCATGTTTAACGTGCGTGTCTCTCTACATCTCGGCGCCCGGTAGTTCCCGGTACTGCAGGAGTTGATCAAAGGATGGGACTGGAATGGCCGTGATCAGATTGGGCGACGGCTTCTGCAACATCAAGAGGCGTGAAGTCGCGTTTACACTGACTCGGCTTTGTGGCAGGTTGCGACCGCTTGAATTCGATGTTCTTGACGACTGGATCGAATGATGCGGATCGCCGGATGCTCTTCGCGGCCGCAGACCGCTTCTTCGATGGCATGCCCAGCGTGTCCAACGACGGAGTGCGCTTGGCAGTGTTGGCGGAGTCAATCAACATGAACCTGGCCTCAGGCGTGTTTAGGAGCGCTCGCGCTCTAGCTTTCACCCTTTTCAACAGCTCCGGGTCTGATGTTGATTTGGGAACTGTTGATGCCAATGGCTTCAAGAGGTTGCACTGAGGCTGGCACTCTTTACGAGACTTAACCTCCTTCGCGGGGTTCGGAACGTAGAGCTCTCGTCGAGGTTGAGGACCATTTCCGCGAGACACCGCCAGACCAAGCTCTGGTATGCTCCACTTCGCGGCCGCGGCATCCTGTAACTTTGCATCGTTGACGGCTGCTGAAGGTCAGCACAATTTCCAACTGAGAGTGAGAAAAGAGATAGCGTACAAGAGACGAAATTGTCGGTTGTAGAGTCTGAGGCGTCTAATGAAATCAATGGTGCTGCACCCCCATTTTGTTGGCTCTCTGTGGAGAAACTGCTTGGGTCAAGGTCGCCATGAAGGTGTTTGCCACCCGGGGAATCCCAATACATGGGATGTAATGGTCCGGGGTTGTGAGCAGGTAGACCAGTGGTATCTTGATGCATGAGGTAAGGGTACGCTGCGCTGACTGAGGCGGGCAAAACACCGGTGCGTGATGGATTTCGACGGATAGCGCGACCCTGGGACTCTTCTTTAGCACGCTGAACGGAATCTTCAGTCGAATGGAGTTGGTCTGAGGGGTTCGCTGCTGTTTGGAAGACTGGCAAGATCGTGGGCGCTGGGGTTGAAGATAAAGGCAGTTGGGGCGGATCTCTCACAAGTCTTCTAAGCCATTGCTGAGAAGCTAGATCGTGGCCTGTCGAATAGACTGCTGAGGGAAAGCCATGTGCCGGCGCGGCAACTTCCCACATGCGTCGGTTCGGCCAGGCAATGGCAGCTTCCTCGAGCGTCTCTGTTGCATTAGAAATGATTAGCCCGCAGTCCAGACAGCGAACCAAGTCACTAGCTGCTACCGACCTAGTGGAGCGTGGCAGAAAGAAAAAGCAGCGACATTTTTGATGTGGTCCAAGGAAAGAGTCGTCGGATCACGCTGGATTGCTTCCGTGACGATAACTTGGATGCGGCCAAGGGATACGGCAGGATTCCAGGAGTATTCTTGCAAATATTTCTCGTTGAATGCAGGGAACCTGATTAGATCGCGGTCACCGTGTTTGTTTGGTTCTGTAAAGAGTCAGATCAGCGGCATATTCCTCGGCGAGTTCATGCATCGGCAACTGTGTCGACTTACTGAGACTTTGAGAGATGGGAAGAGGCGTCCGTCGACTTTGGTTGAATACGTCCTCGCTGGAAGTCCGTTAGAAGCTGTAAGCGATACCGAGATCGACTGCAAAGTTCTTACGCGACGAGTTCTCCATCGATGTAAACCCGAGCCGCAAAGACCACAAGGTTGGCGTTTGGATTTGGGTTGCTGATAGAAGGGACTGTCCAAGAAAAGATGGAAACCGTGAGCGGCATGTTGCGGGGAAGACCGGGGACGAAGCCATGAACAACAGGCAAGCCAAAAGGCCCCGGAGATGATGCCGGTTTCGATTCTGTCAGGGAATCAATTAATCAGCAAAGAAACGTCCATGACCGCAGAGCTCGTCAAGACTGACCAAAGTCCGGGATGACGGAGCAATCTGTCTTGAACTCCTTCAGCGGCACCGATCCACTGCTGGGAAACAACAGAACGTCCCAATTATCGTAACGCATGTTGGAATTCCCCACGCTATCTAGCCGAGTGTGACGATGGGTGAAGTCTCTGTTGACAGAAACGCGAGCAGACGATGACGGGGACGACAAACGTCGAGTCCGATGATTGGGATTAGTATGCTGGAAACACTGGATACTGTAGTTGTGTTGTTTGACGTCGAGTCTGTTCACCAACGGAAAGTAGGCAGAGAAGGAGACTTTGGCACGGCGAGGTATCGTACCTCTTTCGCCCAGGAGGCAAGCGGAGAGGGAGATGAGTTGCCTCGGGGAAAGAAGGAGCTCCCATACACTTCTCCGCCATTCTACACCAAGAGGCCGAGGCCAGCCGGGCACTTGCCCTTCTATCGTGAAGGACTGGCCGAGGAATAGCCACCCAGGTACCTTGCGTTCTTGCCATTCCCGGCGGCAAACCTGTCGCGTCTGCGTCCCACTCCGCCTGTCAGATGAGACCACATTGGTTATCAGGCCAGCATGCTTAATTTCACTGCGGATGATTCTGACTGGAACATTGACTGAAGACATATGAACTTGTTGCTGGTGGGGTTCCCAAAGGATTTCTTCTTCTGCTCTAAAATACACACATGCGTCACCATTCGTAACCCCCGACATGTCACACTTTTCATGGGTCAGCGTCGCCAGCCTTTCTCGCCTGTCATTATGTTAGTCTCGCAGTTTTGGCCTCATATATCTGTTGCAGAACCTACCCGCAGAGCGCTAGCACCTCCCAACTCCCTCTCAAGTCCGTCGGGGAATTCTCTCGGGTATGAAGCCTTGTCGGGGTAGCTGGCCTTGACGACACCGCAAACACCGAGGAAGACGACGATAAAGGCACCGATCTGGGCCAGACCCTTGCCGGTGGTGGTCCAGGTGTACTCGAAGGGGGAGAACATGCCGAGCAAGTCGTGGTCTTCGTGAACAGGCTCGCCAAAGTTGCGGCGCTCCTGCTTGTCCCACCAATCGCCGTGGGGATCGCGGAACTGTCTCTTGATGAAGGGAGGGTTGATGTATCCGCCGTTCTACGCGTCTCCAAGTTAGCCACGGCTATCGAGCCTCTCTCTCTTTTTCTCCTTCTGTCTCCTCTCTCGCCGCCAATTGCCGTATCACTGACCATGTTGGGATCCTCCGCGTCAGACAGAGTCGGGTACTCGGGGTACTTCTCCTCGAGAACCTTGCGGTCGTTGAACTGAGGAGGGAAGAAGGTACGTTGCTGGACAATCGGGGTTCGTCGGGCGGCCTGGACGGCGCCGCGGACCGTCGAGGCCCGCGCAAATCGTTGGGACAGCATCTGCGGAAGAGGGGGATTAGATTGCCACCATAGTCTACGATTCAATTGAGGGTCGAATGGTCATACCGTGGCCGAGGTTGTGGTTCCGATGCGGGCCCAATTGCTTGGTATTTTGAATGTGATGTCGTCGCAGGTCTGAGCCGAAGCTTCGGTCGATTGATGATTGCTAGCCAAATCCCTCGATTGTGGTTGGCCAGCCTGGATGGAGTGAATGCCTGAGGCGTGCAATGTTCAGAACTGGTCACTTTTTTGAGGTGCGCGCCAGCCAGAGACAAATGTGGGGCACTTTAGTCAAATCCGGGCGTCTGGTTGGATGGACTTGCCCTGACTCCTGTCACCCATTTCCTCGATTCAAGGGAGCAAAGTCCCCCAAACAGCGGTCGTCATTCATTGGTGGTTCGAGTCACCGTGGTGTGTAGGTACCTTAGCTGCCTGCCTGTACCTCAGGGCAGCATCAATCGTCCGCCGTCACCACCCGAACGGCCTCTATGCCCCTACGCCCCCCGAGTCTGAAGGTCTGAGGCCAAGTACCAACGTTCTCCTTTCGGCTAGCCCAGGCAAGGTCGGAGCTGCATCTTTGCAAAAAAATCTATCATCAAACTTTTTGCTGGCGACGCTGGTTTTGCATCCTTTTTCCAACGCAGCCGGCCACCAAGACGTGTCATCATGTTCAAACTCGAAACTAGAATTCTCTGAGCATACACCATTCCATAGACGTTAATTTCGACGCTTCAGATGCCGGCCCCGTCGAGATCACGGCCCCATCTCGCGTCCGCCCCCCGTTGCTATTATGAACAAGACCGCGTCGCCCGACCCTGCGCAACCCACCAACGAGGTCATCGACTCCCAACGCGACGAACAAACCGCGACTGTACCTCAATATGATACCGATCCGCCCTCATCACCGCTGGAATCCCTCGGATCCGACGATTTCGAAGGCCAACTGACCCCTAACGGTAACGACTTCATCGGCCTACCCCTCCGCTCACCATCACCTACAACACCATTATCTCCGTCAACACCCTCACCCTCGCCTCCTGCTCCCGCGCCCTCTTCCGACATCGATGATGAACGCCCTTCCAAACGACGTCGCGTCTCCACGCCATCTGCGCCCGGGTCTGGCCAGAAAAAGAAACAAATCTCTCCGCCATGGAAGAAGATCACCGCCGAGGGTCCGACCTCTTTCATCGATAATGGCAGACGCAAGTCTGGTCGAATTAACACTATCCCCCTCGAGTTCCATCCGCCATCCGGCAAGCGAATGACGAGAGGAGCTCTTAACAGTAGTCCACCCTCCAAGAACAAGTATGCTTCTACAAACGGCCACGCCGCGACGCCCACCCCAAACGGAACTGCCAAGTCCAAAACTCCCTCGCGAAAACCATCAGCACCAAAGCCCGCACCGCCTCCGCCCAAGACCTCCAACCGAAAGTCGACTGCGAATGAGACCAAGTCTACCTCCCGATCCATGCGCAAGCGAAGTCCTTCCCCATCTGCTCAACCAACTAGGCAGTCAACGCGGACAAGGCGGGGCCGCCGCAGCTCCATCGACGATGAGGCAGCAAGAACTTCGGCGGGTAGCCCGAACCGTACGCGGATTAAGTTACGTGTGCGCGCGACCGAGCTACCCGTTGTACATCCGGGACAAGTCAGCAAGAGGCTAAGAATCGGCCCCAACTTTGAAGAATACTGGGAAAAGGCGCAGGCATTACCCGTTGAGGATGGTGGCATGTACATCCCAGAGGAGGGGCCTAGCTACACTGATGAGATGGCCCAGAAGGATGCTCAAATTGTCTTGCGCATTGAAGAGGCTGTGGAGCCTGGCGGTATCCTTTCACAGGAGCGCTGCACCCTGTTTGTTCCCGAGGCGGAAGAGGAACCACCACGCCAATGGGCTCATGCAGATCACATGGCCAAGGCTGTTACCAACTTTCGCAAGCTGATGGTAGCAGAACAGCAAAGACATCGAGCGCAGGCCAAGAAGATTGCCGAAGCGTGCAAGGACGCTTGGCTCCGGCGCCAACCAAAGTCAACAGAAGAACTCGAGGCTGAGGCGCGCTTTGTGTGGATCGGGCGATACAGAGTGGTTGTCAAAAGCATGTTTGGAACCTGGGAGAACGTTCGGTACGAGATCAATCGGCGGAGGATTCAAGAATGGGAGGCAGAGGAGCAGCGCCGGGTCAAGGCCGCGCTTCAGGAGGCCGTCAATTTGTCAGAGCAGAAGCTGCAGGCAAGAAGAACACAGGCAGATTCGGACATATCCGATGAGGATGATCTCGACGATGATGACAACGATGACAATGAGGACGACCTGGACGCCCTCGACAGCGACCTCGAGAACAGCCAAGCGATGTCGGTAGATGCGGATGATGATGACTCCGGCAATGATGACGACGATGTCATGTCATCTTCAGAAGAGGAGGAAGCAGGCGACGATCACACCGGCGATGCTGGCGATGAGAAGCTCACTATGGAACAGCTTCGCGCCAAATACGCCAATCTACCTGAACTTCCTCCCGACGAACAAGCCGAAAAGAAACTCACCAATGGCGTCGAGTCCGAGGCAGACTCGAAAGTCGTGGCAACCAGCCCCGGAGAAGATACCAGCGATGAGTCCGTCGACATGGATGACGATATGGGGTCCACCGATATGGACGACAGTGATGACGGCTCTGCCGCAGAGGAAGAGTCGGAAGAGGAAGACGGCGACGAGGAGCCATTTGGATTATTGGGCATGCTCTTTGGGAAATCCGAGTTGAAGAAGATTAAGGATGAGGCGCCACCTGACGACAAGGAGCCACACGAAAGCACTGCAGCCTTGGTGGCTGATGGCGCATCCCCACAAGCAGAGGCATCATCGAACTTTAGGGACGACATTGTGGAGGATGAGGATGAGGATGATGAAGTGTCTCTGATTCAACATCCCGGTATCTTTTTGGATGATGACGAGATGGAGGTTGACACAGAAGTACAAGCTACTGTGCCACCAGGCGCTGGCGACCAGGATGAAGGTGTCGAGATTGCAGCCTCAGAGAAGGAGCTGACCATGCCCGTACAGTCGCCCAAGTCGGATGAGGCCTTGGTCAATGGCATAGACAAGGAACCAACCGTCACGAGTGTGGAAGCTGCCACCAACGGGATACCAGAGGCAGTGGAATATGCTGATACGGAAATGCAAGATGCGCCATCGAAAACAGCAGAGGCGGCAATGCCCTCGGCGCCATCTACCGCTGCTATAGTCCCAACAAAACATGTCACTCCTGATACCGATATCGTTACCGTCCCGCCAAGTCGAGAACAAAGTCATTCGCCCCCTACATCCGACACAAAGCCTTCAGATGTGGACACAATGTCTCTGGCGACCCCAGGGGCAAAGGATGTTGTCAGTCGGTCAGCTTCACCAAACCCCAATTCACAACAGACGCAAATCCCGTTTTTGCTTCGTGGTACTCTGCGTGAATATCAGCATCATGGACTGGACTGGCTGGCGGGACTGTATGCCAACAACACCAACGGCATTCTTGCAGATGAGATGGGTCTTGGCAAAACCATCCAGACCATTTCGCTACTTGCTCATCTTGCTTGCCACCATGAGGTTTGGGGACCGCATTTGGTGATTGTACCAACAAGTGTAATGCTCAATTGGGAGATGGAGTTCAAGAAATGGTGTCCTGGCTTCAAGATTCTCTCCTACTACGGCACTCAAGAGGAGAGAAAACGCAAGCGACAGGGATGGAACAACGATGATGTATGGAACGTCTGCATCACATCTTACCAGCTTGTCATCCAGGACCAGCAGGTCTTCAAACGCCGGAGGTGGCACTACATGATTCTTGACGAGGCTCACAATATCAAGAACTTCAAATCCCAGCGCTGGCAGACGCTCCTTGGTTTCAATACTCGAGCAAGGCTTCTACTTACAGGCACCCCGCTCCAAAACAATCTCACCGAATTGTGGTCGTTGCTATTCTTCCTCATGCCAGCGGAAAATGGCGTGGGTGGATTCGCAGACTTGCAAGAGTTCCACGACTGGTTCCACAAGCCAGAGTCTCAAATCCTGGAAAACGGCCGCGAGACGATGGATGAGGAAGCGCGAGCGATCATTTCCAAGTTACACAAGGTCTTGCGACCGTATCTACTACGAAGACTCAAGGCCGACGTCGAAAAGCAAATGCCGGCCAAGTACGAACACGTAGAGTTCTGTCGCCTGTCGAAACGTCAGCGCGAGTTGTACGATGGCTTCTTGGCTCGCACAGACACCCGGGAGACGCTGTCCTCTGGCAACTACCTTTCCATCATCAACTGTCTGATGCAGTTGCGGAAAGTCTGCAACCATCCCGACCTGTTCGTGGACCGCCCCATCATGACGTCCTTTAGGATGCAGAAATCCGTTCCAGCAGAATACCAAGTCACCGATCAGTTCCTACACCGATCTTTACTTGCAGTAGAGCCAATGTCTATTGTTAGCCTGGGCGTTCTCAACATGATTCCTACACAACACGAGAACATGTCCAACACAACAGCGGAGCGCATTTCGCAGCTCAGCCTTCACAGGGTACTGATGGAACTGAGAGAGGCACAGAATACCAGAGCTCATCTGGCTCGTACAAACCTCGACCCTTCAACAGTTGAGTCGAACATTATGTATCTGGACAGCCTGGCTCGCTGGCGCCGCTTCGAGGAATTGCAGCACAGCGTGTACCTGAACGCTCTCCGCGGCCAACGTCGGCCCATCTATGGCAAGCGCCTGATTGATTTTCTGACGCTCGGGTTAGACGGCAGACCCCGGAAACCCAAGCCAAGAGTTCCTAACCAGATCTTGAATTGGTTTGCGGAGGATTCCGACTTCCTCCGTGCCGTCATCCATCCAGCTGACGAACGAGCCGATGCCATGCAGACGATCATTCAAAAGTTCACATGCGTCACTCCCGCCGTCATCACTCGCGACATGAACGAGGTGATACTGGGAAGAAAGGCGGCTCAGGCCTTTACGGACGAGGACCTCAAGCTCTCAGCGCCTGTCCGGTGGGCTCCTTTCATGCCCAAGCAGCCACCCATTGACCCGTGGCACGAGTCACGCATGCGTCACAGCATCCAGTTCCCAGACAAGCGTCTGCTTCAATACGACTGTGGAAAGCTTCAAGCCTTGGACAAGCTTCTTCGCAAGCTTCAAGCCGGCGGCCACCGTGCCTTGATCTTCACACAGATGACCAAGGTTCTGGATATTCTCGAGCAGTTCCTCAATATCCACGGCCACAAGTACCTTCGACTTGACGGACAAACAAAGATTGAGCAGCGGCAGATCCTCACGGACAGGTTCAACCATGACCCACGCATCTTGTGCTTCATCTTGTCTACGCGTTCCGGTGGATTGGGCATCAACCTTACTGGGGCCGATACCGTCATCTTCTACGACCAAGACTGGAACCCAGCGATGGACAAGCAATGCCAGGATCGATGCCATCGTATCGGTCAGACACGAGATGTACACATCTACCGACTCGTCAGCGAGCACACGATTGAAGCCAATATTCTTCGTAAAGCGTCGCAGAAGCAGATGCTAGACGACGTGGTCATTCAGGAGGGTAGTTTCACCACGGACTATTTCAATAAACTTTCCGTGCGGGACGTTCTCGGCACTGAGGGAACAGACCTGGTCGATGATGCCGCTAATGCCGCCATGGACCGCCTTCTGGGTGGAGGAGATGGCGGAGCGTCGAGAACCGTGGCCGAGGACCTTAAGCAGGCCGAAGACCAGGAAGACGTGGAAGCCGCCAAGGCTGCCGAGAAGGAGATTCAGGACGACGACGCAGAGTTCAACGAAAAGAGCGGCGCACCTTCTGGCGCCTCTAGCACCCGCCAAGGCACGCCGCGGGAGGACGCCGCGGGTCAGTCGAGCGGTGGCCCCGGACCCTCTGGGCTAGGCCGGTTCTCGGAATCCGTTGCCCCAGATGAAGCGGTAGAGATTGAACACAACGCGTGGGGCGAGAGAATATATAATGTGGACGAGTACATGCTCCGGACGATGGCGGAGCAGCTCAAGGGCACGGCGCTAGACCTGCCCAAGGACAAGAAGAAGAGTAAAAAGAAGGGTCGCGACACGCGGAAGCGGTAGGCTGTGTGTAGAAGGGCGACACCTTGTGTAATTGGACGATTGCTTTCCTTTTCTGTACTATATGGTTCGATTTCGAGATGGTCTCGAGGAATAGACCTTTGCATGTATGTATTGCTGGGAGGGGAAGAAAACGGCGTCTCAGAGGACTTTGGCCGTGAACGAGGCGTTTTGGGTTGGTGAGGGGAGGTCCCCATGGAAGCATAGACATGGACGAGAGCAAAAATATCAAGATAAATCTCCAAGCATCTGTTATCTGTCACTCTTGATGTACGTGATCTGTAGTGCCTCATTACTTATCTATGTGAACCTGAGTGAGTCTTTTCTCAAACCGACGCCATGGACATGGACCCCGCGACCCCCTTCCTTGCAACTTCCTCACGCCAAGCCTTCGCCTCTATCCTCAACTCTCTCTTCACATACCAGAATGTCGCAACTGTCCAGATACCAGCCCACACGAACGGCACCGACCACCCAACAACATACGCGGCCTCCCCGCTGCTCAAACCAAAGATCAACGCCGTACAAAGCACAGCACACCCCTCAGCGCCAACAGCCCAAAACACACCCAACCGCCTCAGCATCGCGCGAAAGACATGGCTCGCTTCGTAGCGCCTGTCGAGCGCGACGCGGAAGTCCGTGCCGCCGGACCCGTCGACGGCGCAGACGTCTTCGATGAGGGAGTAGATTCCTGGTCGGAGCTGGGCTCTGCAGGGCACGGAGGAGATACGGAGTGGGGAGGGGATGTGGAGGGCGCGGAGGGCGTCGATTAGGAGGAGTTGTGTACCGAAGACGAGCAGCATTGTTGGGACGGGCATGGAGAGGAGGCGGATTGGGGGGTTTCTTGGGACGGTGCCTCTTGGATGGTATCAATAATGTGACTTGAGATAACTATGAGATTGATGCGAGGGGGTTAGACACTTACACGATAAGTTCAATCATGATGATTATCCAGGCAAACGAAAAGTTCCAATGAAACCAGTCGAGGTACCACCTATGCGCCCCGATGACACGACACTTGCTCCCCTTGCGCCAAAGTCGCCAGAAGCGCACAAAGTACTCTACAATGCTAGCGCCACCCACGGCCGCGGTGACAATGGAGAAGACGGCGTTGGGGGAGAGTTTCTCCTTCTTTTCCGTGAGGGTGTTTGTCCCTGGGCCGACGCCGTACCAGAGGCCAAAGTAGAGGGCTATCGGCATGGCGATGGAGTCGAAGAGGATGAGGGTCCAGAACAAAGTGATTGCTGTCTTGCGGGTGCGGAGGGTGTAGTTTAGTGGTGGGGGAGTTGGATGGAAGGCCGGGAGGGTTCGGGGAGGGTCACCGGCCGTGCCGGGGGCTTCGCCGGTGTGGGGTGCGTTTGGGTCCGTTGATGGCCGTGTGGGTGAGAGCGAGCTTCGCCGGGTCATGGCGAGGCTTGGCCGGCTGAAGGGGCCGTCGTAGCGACGGTCAAAGTCATGGCTTGGTCTGGTGGTGTGTTTCTTTGGAGATCGTGGGGATGAGGGTTGGTAGTGTGGTGCTGATGCCGGGCGGCGGGATGTGTCGATGTCTGGCGGATTCTGTGGTTGTGACCTCTTTTCATCGAGAATGTCTCCATCTCTCGTGCTAGGAACGATCCCGTACTGTCGTTGACCTTCAGGCTGAGACCCCGAAGCAGGCTGTGGAGCCTGACTGATCTGTAGGCTATGACGACCAAATGCTGTAGGGTCATACTGATGAGGATGGTGACGTTCAACGTTGGCATCACGGACGCGCGGATGCCTCGGATTAGGGGGTCTGTCGGCCTCAGGAGCTGCTTTCTCATTCATCATTGTCAGAAGCCAGCGAGATCGTAGACTTCTACTAAACGGAAGCAGAATGCAACACCTGTGAAGAAAACTTTTGCGATGAAAAGATGGCCATTATAGATTCCATGTGGATAGTTAAGCAGTAAATTAAAATAGATAGCAAGACATCACGTCGCCAAGACTCCAGAGGGAGACGATCATGACTTTCCGGGACTTCCAACGGAAAGTCATACTGATCGTACAGGCTAACGGATGAGGATCCACAACTAACAAAGGCAGATAGATGGATCTAAGGCTTCATTTGTTGGACGAGAGATGCCGGGTGGTGACATTCGGGGGGGCTAGGAGCAGAGGCTCCGCCGGGGATTCAGGGATGATGTCAGGATGAATCCTGTGGCAAAACTGAGAAGCTTCCATGTTTGTCCAACTTAAGCACGTGAGAGCTTCTTTAGGTGCGATCAGGTCGGTCGTACCGGCTCTAGAAGTTTAATCTTGAGAACTTGCCCGGTTCACAGCGGAGGTGGCCGTCAACACGCGGAAAGGGACGTTGGCTGACTCTTCCTTCGAGTACAATTGAGACAATGCGACAAAAGCACTGCACAAGTAAAAAGTAGGGACTTCCCAAAAGATAAGATAAACGTGTTCTTGCCGCTTAGTCATCTAACCATGAGCTTCCAAGTGATCAGGCTGTCCTAACTTACTGGATGCCTGGGATACCCCTCATCCCAAACACACCTCACTTCTTTACCCTGAAGCTCAGGGTGGCCTTCTCATTATATAGATGTGAGCTTCTATGGTGAGTGCCACCATCTGTCCAGTCATGCGTCTGATTAATACGGCGACACTGGAGCTCGAGGAGTTTATTGACCATACCCGCACCCCACCGTACGCCATTCTTTCCCATGCATGGCAGGACGGAGAAGTTTCGTTCCAAGAATGGAACCACCGTGAGACTAGGATAGGAAAGAAAGGCTTTCTCAAGGTCGAATCGTTTTGCCGGCTGACCTCGCAGGACGGATACACCCACGCTTGGGTAGACACCAACTGCATCGACAAGCGTAGCTCCGCCGAGTTATCTGAAGCTATCAACTCTATGTTTGCCTGGTACCGAGAAGCAGCGTTTTGTTACGTTTATATGGCCGACGTATCAATCTCAGGCACGACCATTGATCAGCGCGACCTAGAGATCCAGTTTCTAAACAGCAAATGGTTTACTCGTGGTTGGACTTTGCAAGAGCTCATTGCTCCCCGCCGCATTCGCTTCTTCGCTCAGGATTGGGGATTCATTGGAACAAAGCAAAGTTTGTTTGAAGCAATACACCAAGCAACTGGAATTGATAAAAAGTGTCTTCTAGGCATCACATTCTCTTCCGAGTTCAGCATTGCCAAAGTCATGTCTTGGGCGGCTGACCGTGTTACAACTCGCCTCGAAGATCAAGCATACTGTCTCCTTGGTCTCCTCAATGTCAACATGCCTCTTCTCTACGGAGAAGGCGGCAAGGCTTTCTTCCGGCTTCAAGAGGAAATAATCAGAGTCTCTGACGACCAGAGCATCTTCGTCTGCGACATACCCGCCCTGTCTATGACGGCACCTTTGGCCAATTCACCTGCGCTCTTCGCTGATTCTCTGGACGTCGGCCGCAGGCCCCGTCCGATAGCTCCGATGGACACAATGCCACAATTGCATACGATGACCCACGCTGGTCTTTCGATATCTTTGCCATTAATCCAGACTTTGTCACCCCAGTTTGTTCTGGGCGTTTTGAACTGCAGAACGCTTCAGGGGTCTATCGACAACTGTATTTGCCTACCTTTATCATCTCACTTCAGCCGTTACCGGCAACAATACACTCGAGTATCGCTCCCTGGCCCATGGATATCACTGAGTTTTTCTTCGGTTGAATCTTTTCTTCCCTGGCATGGAGAAAATGCGGCTCGTGCCTGTGGCTGGCGCTCAGATCTTACACCCGAAGAATCAACGAACATCATGATCTCCATGCTACGTCCCCTAGAAAGGGAACACCTCTCCATGCATATTTTCGAACCTGTCAAGCGAATGGCGGGAGGGAGCGCAAGGGCTTTTTGCTTCGTAACGTTCCCGTGTGGCCTCTTCGGCCATCGTCTTTACGCCTCAGACCCCCCTGAGACAGTGGACCAGCAGAATAGTATGATGGTCATGCTTGGCCAAGATGTTTTTGATGAAAAGGGCCGTGGCCTACTTGTATTCAGAGCAAAGGGTCCCGCATATGATACCGGCCGATACACAGGTATCTATCTCGAAGCGGCACTGAAGAACGATGGTGCCTTGCAAGATTGGCCTCGAGCATGCCGCGTGTTGCAGAATTGGAATCCCCATGACGGTCTTGACGCGGCCGTTGAGCTCAACAAAAGCTTTCCACCTAGTCAAGCAAGCTGGGTTGGAAATATGATGGTAATGATGAGGACCGTGGTACCAGTCAAACCTGCTTACACAGCATCAATGAAAGTCGTGTTAGTGGTGGAAATCGTCTTCGCCACGGATAACGTTCGATATCCTGGAAGATAAGAGGGTTTTCTCACTTATTGATGGGAACGTCGCAGTACAGCAGAATGCTGTGGGACTCGGGCGAGTCTGGGTGAGCTTTAATGCCACCTTCTCGCAGAAACTGGCACCAAACCAAGGGTGATGGAACCTGTTGAATACAATTGTCTAAAGTCAAGTCTCGATGTCACAATACAGAGGACAAAAGAAATGGAAGAATTCCAGTTCAATTGAACAGAACAGACTACTTATGCAGCGCAGCTGCTCCGGCAGCTCAGCTAACCATTCTGTCTCCGCCTATCAATACACTACACAAAAGGAAACTCGCTAATAATCTTCATATAATCATCAGATCTCCATGGGAGGATCCTGTACCATCTTCCTCCTCGAGACATCGCGTCTTTAGGCCATGACCTCGGCGTGGAACTGCTCTTGTGCGCCGGCGGGAGCGGCGGGAGCGGCAGGGGCAGCGGGGGCTGCAGGAGCAGCACCACCGGCAGCACCACCAGCGGCATCACCGCCGAGCTTCTGAATGCCACCGTCCAGGGACTGGGTAACCTGGTCAACAGATTGCTGAGCAATGCCCTGGCCGATGGCGGGAACCTTGGAAACGATGGCACTGCTGAAGTCACCGGCAGTCGCCTTCTGCTGCTTGAGCTGGTCAACGGCGATGGAGGTGGCGCCAAGCTTGTCAAGCTCGGGCTTCTTGGCGACCAAGTCATCAACAGAGGTCTGGACAGCGCTGGTCAGGCCACCGGCTGACTGCTGGAGGGTGAGGGCATCGGTGAGGGAAAGCTCCTGGGCGCCCTGGATCTGCGTGGTACCTTGCTTCAGCGAGGTCTGGACCTTGTTGGAGGCATCAAGCAGGTTGGCGGCGGTGTTGGGGTCCGCAGCGTTGAGAGCCTATACAAGTGCGGATTAGCTTCGGTCACTGAATAATGTTCGAGTCTTGTCTCGTACCTTGACAGCAGTGTCGAGCCCGGTAAGAGAGTCCTGGACGTTGGTCAAGGCAGCCTGGATGGGCTGGAGTTGACGCTTGCTGGCGAGAGAAGCGGGGGCTGCAACGGCGGAGCCGGCAAGCAGGGCCTGGACGAAGACGTTGGTGAAGTGCATTTTGATTGGTATTCGGTAAGCGGAGGCTTGATTTGATTGAAGCGACGGATGGAAGTTGTTTAGAAAGGTGTTAGGAGATCGTTGTAAGCTGAGAAGTCTGGATGCTGATGAGATGGAAGGGAAAACCTCACCTAGACCAGGAAATCCACCGTCTTAATATACCAGCTTCTAGACATTGACGACGAGTCAACTTGGTCTTTACCTTCCCGTCACCGAGACTTCATCCGAGCCATTGCAGTCTCAGCCTACCTAAGAAACATCGAATACCATACGACTTATCGGCCTCTATCCTCAGTACCTAGACTTGCGGTACGCAAAACCGACTTCTCTCACAGTTACCATCGTCAGAATCTGTCAGTACTTGCCTAAGCTGTTGCAATTGGCGCCGCGGGAGCCTCATTCGGCTGGATGTAGTCACGGCCGAGGATGAACCCTTGAAACGCGCGCAGACGGCACGCCATGCAGCGTGGTTCGGTCGTCGACCAAAGATCACGGCTTTCGCGGTCAGACGAAACGAAATGTGGATTCACGGACCCCGGCTAGAAGCGTCAGTCTCTCGACACGGGCAATAAGTGATGGACTTTTACATTCAGTCTGCATGGCAACCCTGGATTCGAAAGGATGATCCCTTCTATTTTCATCCTCCGGCAGCGGTGCTGTTCATTCCCCATGGTGTGTGCGTTCATGATTCGCACCGCCTAGACCATACTGCGATCGCGGCAAGCTGCGATACCTACCGAAGCATTTCAGATGGCACAAATCATTATTGTCTTTCCCCTCAATTTGTCAAGATATCGTGTCAAATGTTTCTACTCGACAGCTATGATGGCTCCGAGGTAACACTGAGAGCCTGGGTTTCGATATCAGGCTCGCGGTCTTGGCCAACGTACTGCACACTGTTGCGCCTCTCGGCCCGCATACTCTCTCTACACTAACGCAATAAGCTTACTTAATGGTTCAAGTATTTAGTAGACTAATCAGTGGCGCAGACTGAGTTGACTTCACTCCTGCAGAACTTCAGGTAACTGGTGCGGGAACGCTAGCACACAGCAGCACCTCGGGGTGTTCCGCCTGCACATAACATGTTAGCGTTATGTGTGTCAGTTGCCTCTAGTGCCTAGCAAGGCGGAGTAGCGCTAGACAGGCGTCTTCCAGAGACACTTTGTCGCCTGTTTGGCAGCCGCTAGTGCGGCACTGAGTGTCATCGTGCGTTTACGTCTCGATGAGAGCCTCCTCGACGTCTTAGCACCCAATGTCCCAATGAATGTGGCAACGATCCCGGCCAGTGCCAAGCAATCAAAAGCCGCGCATTCGGATTCGACTCAGCATCCTGTGCCTCATCTGAGACAGTGACACAGTTGACAAATGTCTGCCATATGTCACTTCGCCGCAGATTTCCTCTGCAGAGGTCCGTGCCAGGCGCGGCTATGCGCTTGGCTAGGACTCTGGAGCTGCAACCCTGTCACTAACTTGTTTCTGGGATGGGGGTGGCTGAGGATGGGTTATCCCGACATCGACATGAATGACTGAATCTGCCATTGTTATGGTAGTGGCATCAACTGGTCCTTCCCCCGGGTCAGTTCGTCGGATGGTAACAGGATTTGTGGATGCCAGGGGCCAAGTGATCGTGGACCATCGAGTGGTCTTTGGAACGGGAGGGGATGCGTGCGAGGCAGCTGGCACCTCTCACTCGATGTCCAGCTCTCGTTCGATGTCCGATGTTTTCAAACAGGGTACGGCGGCGCGCTGTGCCCCAAAGTTGGCTGGTTCACGAGCCTGGGCTAAGAATGGCGAATCACCGAGGCTGGTTGGCTTGGACCGCGGATTCGTCACATCCGATTCCACCAGAACCTTCTCGGTCTGAAAGGCCACTGTCCTAACAGTTCGGTGTAGCTCATAGTCTCAAAGGTCCGGACCCTTGGTAGTCCGGTCCCCATTTGCCCAGAATATTTGACTCTGCAGGGGAGTTTCTGAGCTGCATCATCTCACAATCCTCTTGCCTGATCAAGAAGGTTCTGCTGATTTCCTTGCTCTCTTGATTTTTTCCCAGGCCGAGTATTGCCCAGAATGGATATTTGGAGTTTGTCTTCTCACTGGCCAGATCAGACGTCCAAACAAGAGGCCCTCATATCAACAAATCCCCGCCGCGCTTTGAGGTCGACCACTATTCAGAGGCACGAGCGGAGTTCTAGGATATTCGGCAGATGATTTTCGTGGAATGAGACAGTTATTTGTGGCTTACCTTGGGGAGAAGGCTGGAGAAATAAGTAGGTGACTGGACATCTGCTTTGACCTCAAAACACACATTTCGAATGCGATTCGCTCTTCATCGAATAAGCTTATTCTCCGATGCTTTCTGATAGCAATGGAACTGGTTTATCACACGTTTAGAAGTGGCGAACTATGCCTCGGTACTTTGAAAGAGTGATCGGTGTGGCTGGTGGCGAATGGAAGCAATGAGTAGATAAAGGCAGCCAAGCCCCCAGATCACCAGTGTGACCTTTTTCTTCTTTTGGATGATGCATCATGCAGTCCGGTGTAGTTCATGTGGCGATGCAGCATTGTGATATAAGTCAAACCCCCCACTTCCCGGCACCCCCCTGTTTCTGGCACCCACAAAAACGCGAAAATCCACCACAACGCAATGCCCACCCCCAACCTCCTTTTATCACAACATTTTCAATTCGAGTCCAAATGGGCTCATTTTTTGCACATACCTTCTTCTATATCTAATGCCTCAATATACCGAAGATCAGCTTCGTCAGGCTCTCGAGGACATCTCAAACGGCAAGAGTCAAAGAGCCTCATTGGAGTATGGGATACCACGATCAACCCTCAACTACGTCTCCAAGGTGGTCAGACTAGGAAAGTGGCTTTTGCTGACTGGCAGAGGCTGTCTCCTGACCAGGAGAAAGCTGGCACAATGGGTTCGCATTCAGGCTTCGCTGGGCCTCGCACCAACGCACCAACAGGTGAAGGAATTCGCAGAGCGAGTTCTGGCTGCTGCTGGGGATACCAAACCATTAGGAAAAGGCTGGATCTATGCCTTCGTGAGAAGGAACCCTATCATTAAGGTTCAGAGAAGTCGTTCCATCGATTCTAGACGCGTTAATGGGGCATCTACTGAGGTCATTAGGAACTGGTTTAAGTTCCTTGCTATCCCTGAGATCAAGGACATCAAACCAGCCAACAGATATAATATGGATGAGACTGGCATCGCATCCTCGAGGGTCAGGAGCTAATGGGTTAGTGCTGGGCATGGCTGAGACGACGTCTGTTCGCAAGAAACAACCTGGGTCGAGGGCATGGGTCTCTATCATTGAGTGTATCTCAGCCTTGGGTAGGGCACTTCGTCCTCTTATCATTTTCAAGGGAAGACGGTCCAACAACAGTGGTTTCCATTACATCTGGTTCCATACGATGGGTGGGAGTTTACAGCAACAGATAATGGCTGGACTACAGACTTAACTGCCATTGAATGGTTAGAGAAGGTGTTTATCCCACAGACTATGCCCGAGGCTGAGGGCGAGGCTCGACTGTTGATTGTGGATGGGCATGGAGTCATACGACGACAGACTTCATGTGGAATTGCTATATTAACAATATCCATTTACTGTTCTTACCACCACACTCCTCTCATGTCCTCCAGCCACTTGACCAGTCTGTCTTCAGCCCTGTTAAGTCAGCCTATCGGAAGGAGCTCGGTTACTTGTCTCAATGGAACGACTCTACCATTATAGGTAAAAGGAACTTCCTGGACTGTTACCAGAAGGCTCGACTTGCTGGTCTATCAGTCTCGAACATCAGAAGTGGTTGGAAGTGGACTGGTCTACACCCTGTAGCGATGGTTAAGCCCCTGATGAACCCTATGGTATTACCTGAGCCTTCTGCTAAGCCCACCACACCCAAACCAACCAGTCGGGGCAAAAGCGATGCCATAATGGTCAACAAACTACCCTGTTGAGCCATGGATTCTGCTTCCTCTGCAGTGGTCTGGTCGACACCCAGGAAGCTGGCAGAGCTCAGCGGTCAACTGCACTTATACACCCAACTCGACAATGATACCAGCACTCAACGGCTGCTGTTCGGGAAGGTGAAAGGCTTCACAGAGCAGGCCTGGCAACTGGCAGCTGCCCAGCAGCAGCTGGCTCACCTGAGGCTCAAGTTACCAACGCTGCAGTTAGGAAGAGGAAGACTGTTCAGATCGATCCCAACACGAAGTTTGCGAACATCAGGGATATCCATCGGGCTCAAATCGAAGCGGGTGAAAAGGAGGTTATTACGGCTGAATCCAGCGACTCTGAATGCCCTAGTGAGGCTGGCAGTTGTATTGTAGTGGGTGTGGTTGAGGATCAATAGTTAATAGTAATGAGGAGGTTGGGTTGTGATCCCATCGTTTTTGTGGGTGCCAGAAACAGGGGGGTGCCAGGAAGTGGGGGGTTTGACTTATTTTCACAGATTCTAAGTGATCCAGTCAAGCGCCAACAGGATGGCATGGAAAGGATCTCACAAGGAACTCAACCCGTAAATCGACAAATTCCAAACTATGCCCACTCGAGTTGAGAAAGACTTCCTGCTCTTCCAGACGGACCCTGGCGGACTTTTGCTTTGCAGGGTGTTCCGGGGCGAACTTCGGTGGTAGAGTTTGTGTTGTTGAGTAAAGATGAACGCAGCCTGCAGGGCCGAAAGGCAAATCGCGATGGGCGTATGACGAAAGGGGTAAAGTTAGCTGATGGAGGGGCGAACCCTTTTTTTGAGATCCGAGCTCGGAGAGTCTAATCAAAAGAACTTGAAGGTCAATGGTCCCTGATATTAGTAGATCCCCAGTATTGTCCTTTTGTGATGTACAGGGTAGCTTTGGTAGGTAAATGTTGCAGAATTAACTGAATCCCCGTGAAAGTCTCAGCCGCCCTAAGTATGAAAATATGTCAATCCTTCTATCTTGATTGAGCCTAGAACTTCTTTGACAGACTCACATGAAATTGTCTTGGGTTGGACGACCATAACTGACTGGTGTTTGCTCACTTGAGCTGCGCTGTCCAGCATCGTTTTACTTGTCCTGATCGGAATTTGGATGCCACCCTATATGTCTCAACATATGAACTCAACTACGATTTCGCGTTGAGTTTCATTGATTCCATGGTCGTCGCTCCATGTCACTCGCATTGAATTCGATGGTCTCTGATGACTCGGTGTCTGCTTCTCGGTATCTCTTGCTCTCAAGACATGGTCAATTGCAGAGATTTGACACTATAAAAGGGGCCGACAGATAACTCTGGGACGGCGATCGGCCGGTGGGAAGTTGAGACTGAAATCTCGAATTGCTCGGTGTGGGATGTGGGAAAAGATGTGGCTACTTGAACTCACTCTGTGGTAGGCTGTTCCTGTATTTTTCGTTCTGTACGACCAGTATAAGAGCTCGTTCCGATATACACTCACTATCCCACTTCTCGCACGTATTAGAAGTTGAATACTCTGGTAGCGGTGGTGCCGAGACAATGAAACGGTCGACTGGTAGAGGCTTAGCTGGCTAGCCGTTGTCCGCTTCCCACTGTTTATACCAGCCAGGCTGACCGATCGAGATTACCTCCATCACCACCATGTGCAGACAGGCTCCATCCCGGCTGCTTGATGCTTGCATGCTGCTTGCTCTATCGCTTCGTAGACTACGTACGGGCCTACTTATATTGAGCCATCCCATAGAAGATGCAGAAGTGAATTGACATGAACAAGTACTTGGTCTACGCACGTCTTCAATCACTGGCAAAGATTACTACACTGGATCCTCAGGCGGTCGTTTCTTTCTTGGAGAACTCCAATGTTTTTGTGTTTTTCCGTATGCTAGGCTCTATACAAGCAACGGTCGATGCCCCCTGTGCCCAATCGAGCACCCAGCATCAAGTGGCCCTGCCGTCCCCCCAAGACTGGCTATTCTTTCCGCAGAGATCATACATCATCCTTTTCTCGGAAGATTTCAAATTTCCTGCTCGTCACGCGCAGTAAAGGCGCTTCTTTCGAATGATGTAATCGGCCAGCGGACAAAATCGGGAATGACACCGGCCGCAATCCCGTAAAAGAGGAACCTTGACCGGGCCCCGAATCCTCAGAGCACCTCCGATCCGGCCCGCTCCGAGTCAGCTTTCTATCCAGGCCAGCCCCGTGATCTTGCCTTGCGGAACATCTCGGGCTAATTCGATGCTCTTATCAAGGTCAAGTAGCTGAAACTGTTGCAAACCCAGAAGCCGCAATGAAGTTTTCGGTGCCTGTGGTATTCAGTCCCTTTAAATCGCTGTGGTCAGCTCACTCACGAAACGAGTACCCGCCCATCTCAACATCATTGTGATCTCGTGCGCTTTCAACAAGATCAACTTGCCAAACATGTCTGAAATGAAAGTTGCCGTCCTGGGTCTCCCCAGAACAGGCACACAGTGTACCTCCCACCTACCATCCACGTTGACAAGAACCCTTCTAACACTCCCCAGCCCTCGCCGACGCCCTCGCAATCCTCAAAATCGCCCCCGTATACCACATGCGCGAAGTCGCCAAAAACACCCACCAAGATCTTTGGATCGCCGCCATAACCGACAACCTCCCCGTCTCCAACCCCCTAAACCCCTGGTTAAAATCCCAATGGGATGCCCTCCTCTCTCCGTACGAAGCAGTCTCCGACTTCCCCCCCTCCCTCTTCCCAACCGCCCTCGCAGAAGCATACCCCACGACCCCAATAATACTAACCACCCGCTCCTTCGACTCCTGGGCGTCTTCGATGCGGGATACTCTGATCCACGCACACCTTCACCGGGGTAAGCACCAGACCAAATCGCCTATGGAGGAGTTGGCGAACGCGTACCACTCTGCCTGCTGGGACAACGACTTTGAGAAGAATGGAGAGGCGTATTTTCAGAGGCACCATGAGGAGGTGAGGGCACTTCATACTGATGGGCGTAAGTGTCTCGAGTTGAGACCTGGAGACGGGTGGGAGCCGCTTTGTGCGTTTTTGGGGGTCGAGGTGCCAGATGTGGCGTTTCCGAGGAGCGATGATTGGGTTGAGTATAAGAAGAAGGTTGAGCAGGAGAGGGGGGAAGTAGGTGCTGTCGAAAAGTAGATAGAGAATCAAGGGTCCATTTGCACGTCAGCACATTAGTGCGCAAGGAAACATTTATACTGTGGGTTGAGCTCGAAACATCGAGTTCATTTTATTGTGTGGCAAGTTGGGGCCGGAGCAAATTCTGAACAGCCAAAGCCTGATAGAAAAGATACTAAAAGAGTGTGACGAAAGCAAACGTATCACCAAAGCCCGAAAGCCTGCCAGACTCATGTTGAATAGCCCCATTCTGCCTAATCTCCGTTACCGATGTTGGATCCGATATCAATCCCGCCAATACTCCGCACCGAGGCGCCGATTACCAGGGAACTCCCCATTCATCTGACTACAGCCTGCGCAGAGGCATCTGCATTGCAGCAGAATCATCGTCAATCTAGCGCGCGGACTAGACCTGTCCTTCGGGACTGCGTGCAATCATGCCGAGACCCATGTGACGCTTTACAGCCTTCCAGGTTTCAATGAGAGCAATGTAGACGACCAGGCAGGCAACAACAATGCCCCACTCCCAGGTAATCATGCCGTGCTTGAAGACAGCGCGGTTGACGACAGGTAGATAGATGACGGGGAAAGTCATGATGAAGCCGCCGGCGACGGCCCAGAATAAGAATCGGTTCTTGAAGATGGTCTTGAACACAGCCGTTGGGCCGGTCCACAACTCAGGGTTCATGTTGAACAAGCTGCGCTGGAAGTGCTTGACCTCCCAGGCAGTGACCAAGAGCAGGAAGCTCAAGGTGGCGTAAACGGTGGACCGGGCCCTGAAGACGACGTCACAGGTTTCGTTCCAGCCGTCGTTGCAGTGGCTGCCGAGATCGCCCGCGCCTGGTCCGTACGCAACGGAAGTAAACGCGGCCAAGCAGAGCGAGCCCATAAAGAAACCGTAAATCATCTTGTCGCGGATCAAGTCCCAAGTGAAGACGCCAACGCGAAGACTGTGAGGTGCACGCAGGAGGATATCGGGTTGAGCCTCCTCCAGACCAAGACCGATAGCCAGGAAGGAGGAAGTAATAAGGTTGACCCACAGAATCTCCAAAGGAGATAGAGGGAATATGGAGGTGCCACTTCTGTCCTTGAAAGAGAGACCAATAAGGAGAAGAATGACCTGGGAGATGTTTGATATCAAGAGATGAAGCAAAAACTGACAACCTGGTTAGAAAAGTGTCTCGAATGAATATGTATGTGTGGATAAACAAACCTTCTGGATGTTGTCAAACAAGCGGCGACCTTCCTTAATGGCGGTAACGATGGAAGCAAAGTTGTCATCAGTAAGAACCATGTCCGCTGCCTCTTTGGAAACGTCACTGCCTCTCTTGCCCATGGCAATACCAACATCGGCTTTCTTGAGAGCAGGGGAATCGTTGACACCGTCACCAGTCATGATGCAGTAGGCCTTGCGACGATGCATGGCCTCGAGCATTCTGACCTTGGTCATAGGACTGCATCGAGCAACCACAAGAGGGAGGGCTTCGAGAGCGTCAACTTCGGCGTCGGTCATGGCGTCGAATTGTCCAGCGGCCATGACTGCAGTAGACGGCTCGCCGCCACGCAGGATACCGACCTCATGAGCAATGGCAGTAGCAGTCTTAATGTGATCTCCAGTAACCATGTGGACTGAGATACCAGCCGTGTTGCACTTCTTGACGGCTCCGAGAGTCTCGACACGAGGGGGGTCGTACAGGCCAGCAAGACCGAGGAAACGGAGCTTGCACTCCGTTACGTTTCTCTCGCTAGCGTTGTCAGCGTCTTCGAGGAATCGTTGAGCAACGCAGAGGACTCTGAGACCCTCTGAGGCCAGCTCGTCAGCCTTGGCCGCGATCCTCTGCTTGACGTCGTCCGACTCGGCCAATCTCTCAACCATGACTTCGACGGCACCCTTGGTAAAGACCTGGCGGGGAGCGCCAGGGAACTCGTAAACGACACTCATGAGCTTGCAGGTGGAGTCAAAAGGGAACTCGTACAACATCTTGGTCTTTTCGGACGAGATGAGGTCTGTCTTTCCCTTTCCATATCGCATAGCAAAGACCTGAAGGGCAATCTCGGTGGGCTCGCCAATGGCGGTCCATGAAACCGGCACCTCAGTAGCGGTGGTCATAGACTCAGTATCGGTCGAGGCCTTGCCATCGGTAACAGCGGAGTTGTTGCACAGGGCAATAGCCTTGAGGAAGGCACCAAAGGATGAAGAGATGATAGTATCGTCAGACTTCTCAACCGTCGGAGTCGACGCTCCACTAGAGCCCGAGCTTGATGCGGTCGATCCAGGCCAGCGCACTTTGCCGCTGGTCGGGTCGTAGGGGTCGGTAGTGCCCTCTATAATGGCGGTCATATCTTCGGCCAGCCAGATCTTCCTGGTAATCATTCGTCCCTGCGTGAGCGTACCTGTCTTGTCGGAGCAGATGTTGGTGACACCACCAACGGCTTCGAGAGAGGAGAGCTTGCGAACAATGACGTTTCCAGACGCCATTGCTTTGGTACCAACAGCCATAGTGATGGTGAGGACGGCGATAAGGGACTCGGGAATGACGGCGACACCGACGCAGATACCGTAAATGAGAACCTGGTCATCAATGTCGAACTTGCTGACCGCGAAGACAATGATGGCCAGAAGGATAGCCAGACCGAACAACAGAAGAGCAAACTTGCTAAGCTTGACCTGAAGCGGAGTGCCCTCGAGACCAAGGATGCTCTTCATGGCAGCCTTGAAACGCGCGAGAGCGCGGGCGGGGAGTGAGGCATTCTCGTCTCTCTTACGAGTAGTGCGAAGCATCATGGCGATCTTGCCCACCTCGGTTTCCATACCAGTGGTGGTGACGATACCGCGAGCGCGTCCTCGAGTGACGGTGGTAGCCGAGTACACCATGTTGATGCGGTCGCCGAGGGGAATATCAGCCTCCTCGAAGAGTGCCTCAGGGTGCTTGCTGATGGGCAGGGACTCGCCGGTGAGTAGGGCCTCGTCAATGGAGAGGTTAATTCCCTCGAGGAGACGAAGGTCGGCTGGGACGACATCGCCGACGGCGATCATGACAAGGTCACCCTTGACCAGAGTCTCGGCTTTGATGGTCTCCGCGATTCCGTCGCGGACGACCTTGCACGTCGGGGCGGACAGCGCGTACAAACTCTGGATAGTCTGTTCGGCATTGTAGTCCTGGACAAAGCTAGAGAGATGTCAGCCATGAATGCTCAGCGACTGAAGTGCTGGGTAGGGAAAGGTGTGTGAGACTGAGTTGGCTCGGGGGCAGGGGTAAAGGATGAGCCACTTTGCCAAGAAACTCGCGAGCAGGGTACATTGAGTGCGCGGTGCCACAGGAGCGGTCAGCAGTCACCCAACCCAGCCGTGAGGCGGCAGCCAGGTGAGTGGCCAGTCGTGCTCTGCAACGACTCAAGAGAATCATGAAGTCGGTGGGCCAGGCACGAGGAACCAGAGGGAAGCAGACATATGGCAGTGCGAGGGAACAGGGTGAAGGCTGGCGACGTAACTTACCCCACGACGATGTTAAGAAGGATAACGGCGGTGATGACACCTCCTTCAATGTAATCTTGGATAGCAAAGGACAGAATCATGACAATGACAAGAACCAAGGTCAGACTGTTGGAGATTTGTCTCATGACAATCTCCCAAACGGATAGGCCCTTTGCGCCCTCGATACGATTAGGCCCGTCCCGTTCAAGACGGGCGGCAGCATCGGCCTTTGAGAGACCATTTTCAAGGTCGGTTTGCCAGAGGAGACCTATGTCCGTGACAGGAACCGAATGGGCAGGTCGCTGAGGGACCGGGTTGGGAATGGGCGGGGGCCGCGGTATAGACGGCGGCTCGTCCTGCTCGGGATTCACTTCCGCGGCAGCTGTGTTGTGTTCACCATGCCTGACGGCTTCGGGTTCTCCCATCGGATATCGGTAGGTAACGGCTTAAAACGCGCGCTTGGGGGGTTTGGGTGGTGTGTGTTGGTGCTTTCGGTAAAGCCCTGCAGATATCGATCTGGAAAGAAGTCTGTTAATAGAGAACGGGCAAGCTTAGAGCTTGGGGGTGGTGATGAAGAAGAGAAGGGAAAAAGAAGAGGGAAGGGTTAAAGAGGTGTGTGCTAGGAGGCAGCGTTAAGTTATACTTTTGTGGCGGGTGGAATGCGTGCCAAGGGAGGGGAGCGTGGATGTATGTACCGGAAAGACGACCAAGCCTGGAGGAGGATGGATGGATACTGGATGGGATACTGGAAGATCTGGACGTATCTCCGCAACGGACGAACGAGAGAGACCTGGGGACTGAGACTGAGAGAGAGAGAGAGAGAGAGGGCGAGGTACCTCTTACCAAGCGACCCCCGTTGACTGTCCGAGGACTGGGGTGGGAGGAGTGGAGGGATGCAACGCGGGCGCGGAACGGTGGTGGGAAAATAGCTCCGACCGAACGGGACGACGAGTGGATGGGCCGAAGAAGTGAGGACCGAAACGCATCCGTTGGGCGACTTCCTGTCTTGGACTTTGTCTGGGGAGATGGGGCCAGTCAGGTATTCGTATCGTGTCCGTCATGAGCTAAAGTAGGGCCACAAGTGTTAGTGACGGCACGAAGGAATGCAACAGTTGAGCAGAGTGTGGGAGGAGGACTTGCATGGAGGGCTTTGGGGAGGGTGGATTGGATGTGAGGTATCTTCTGTTACCTGGTATCAACAAAAGCTGCGGGGTGTGCCTTGTAGAGAGATAGGCACTTTGGGCCAGGTACCTACATAAAGTAGGTAAGGTACTTTGCGATATACCTTGATCGAAGATATGCTGGATATTGAGTGACAAAGTGGGCGGGAAGCTTGGCAAATCGGGGGAGTGAATAGGTGACAAGGTTACGCAGTAGACGTGTCCAAGATGGGTGTGTGTTTTGAGTCTTGACTTTTTTGCGGCTTGCAGCTGTACACGGTAGATGAGACGTCAAGGTTGTGCTTGACAGAAGAAACGATAAACGGGAAAGGCGTAACGATAAGGTAGGAAGCAAATCGAAGATGATGCGGTGCGGGGGGGATGGCTGAGTATACCGAAAAGAACGCCCATGGATGCAGATGCGGCAAACCAAAGGGGACGGGAGGGAAAGGTACCTGATACTTTCACGGATGCTCCTGCCTTCCATGATTGCGATGCAGCTGCAAGCAACGGGAAAGCACACAGTTCCTTCGGGTTGTCTGTTTCCTTCCCATTCCAATTCTATTTCCATTTCTCCAAGGTACTGCGCAGGCAAGTGCCGCCAACTTGGGAGACAGAAAGAACCGGCTGCCAGAGTGACGGGACCGACAGGCCAAATTGAACAAGAAAGGGAAAGCACTAAGACTCGAAGCGGCGCAAACAACGACAAGTGAGCAGTTGCCAAGACGAGCTTCCTCCAGTCGCCGTCAGCGCCTCCGTGTTCCCCAGCGGTCTCGTGCCGGCGAAACTGTGGAAACGGTGCAATCCAGCCCACTGGACTGACTAACAATGACTGCTCTGAGGTACCTTGCCTAAGGTACCTACCTGACGGCGCAGTCCGCAGCATTATTGTGTGACGCATCAGCCGTCACGGCCCCTGAAGCATGGTGGCAATCACTGGAAGGTATGCTGTAGCGTCAGGTCAGGTCACCCAATTAGGTACCTTACGCAGCTGAGAGAATGCCTTGGATCCTCAAGGTAAGGTAAGGTAAGGTGAGGCGAGGCGAGAAACGGTGCTGATGATGGGAACGCGCAGGCCCGGGGTGGAGAAGCAACGCAGCGGCGCCGCCAAGGAGCACCGATGTCCGCCCAGCGCGGGCTGGTCGTCGTCATCAGGGAAGGAGGGAACCCGCCATCCAATCATGGCTCCGGCAAGTGGCTGGGGTGTCGGGGCCGTTTCTGGCCAGCTGATAGCTGATAGGGGCGGCCACTGTTACCAGAGTGGCTGTGCAAACCATTCGCTTCATCCAAACCGTCTTGCTCTCTACCTAGGAGGTAAGGCCAAGAACACCGAACTCTTGGTCATCCAGACTACCAGTCGGAATCTTTGCTTGTCAATCCTGTCAGTTGTAGCATACAGATACGCTACCTAAAGCTTCTGATCAGGTACCTGACTTTGGACACAAGCACGCAATGATCCGTTCGTTTTCCAGTCCCAACTTCCACGGCCATCATCCTCACTGCGAATGTGATCCCTGCTCATTTGAGTCAGTCGATTGGTCAGATGGCACGCGGCTCTTGGCAAGCTACGCTAGTGCCTCCAGCCCCACTACCCTGATTCCGTTCGAGAAGAAGGAAGGAAGCAATGCCTGGCAAGTTGCAACTGCTTGACTGCATCTTGCAATTGAATGTCTCGTTGGCAGCTGCTCTTTCTCAATCCAACACCTTTGTGCGCTTATCTGCGGGTATTCCTCTTCTACCTTATCCGAGTCATGTACTTTTTTTTCCCTCTTCCCATCCTCTACGCACTTCATTGGGCCCCCAAAATGTGCCTTGTCCAGAGCGACATCAGATGACATTCGTTCCTCCCCCACCAGACCAGACATTAATGGACAGACGAAGGACTACCCTTGCAAACCTTGCGAAACCTTGCGACGGCCAGCTCGCCTTCGCAATGGTATGGAGTACGGAGTACGGAGCAGTCGCAGCGTGTTCCGCCAAGCTTCACCTTTCCTCATCGTATCCTCTGATAGACGGCCACAGACCGACATCGTAGGTATCTTACATCATACCAAGAAGTCTAGCCCGCGTGCCTTGCTTTCCATTGACCAACATTACGCATACACATACACCAACCGCATCACAGTCAACTCGCCTCGCTTTACCGCGTTTTCTTCCGCCCAAGTTGTTTGGTTGGTATTGTCTTCTCTCACTATCGTGACTGGCTTGCTTCCGCTATCCAGCAAAGACGGAACCATGCCAAACACACCAAACAATAGGAACGTCCAGACGCCCATGGAGAAACTAGACCCAAATGTTGGTTGGAGTAACTGTCTCAATTCTTGTGTGGTCTTTCCAAGGCTTGTCGACACCCACAGCCAATCGCGCAATTCCGCACCTCATCCACTTACCCTCCCAAAGTGGTAGGTGAGCAGACCATAAGGTACCTTAGCAATCCTTATCCCGACACACATCATGCCCCAACCTCAGGGACCTGCCATTTGGATCGAAACGGAGTGCCTTGGACGATTACTTCAACGCCCGGCGGGATTGCTTGCTGACCTTGCATTTCCAAACACCGCTAGAACCAGTCTTCTCTTCTCCTCCTTCCACCAACTTCTGCGCAGACGTACAAAGTACACACAAAGTTCCAACCTTCAGAGAAGCGTACGTGGTCTGCAGTGTCACGTTTGGGACCACTCCCGCCTCGACTTGCCCTATCGAAATTCAAACGCGAAATGCTAAACGCCAAGAAATATGCGTCTCCTCAGCTTCATGGTAGCCACTGGAGCCGAGGAAGAAATGCCTGCTCGAATTCAATTATCCCAACGTGCATCAGGATACGAATGCATACTTCCCCTAGGTCTACACGTACCGGTACACTACTGCGAAAGAAGCGCCAACCAACGACGGCAGCTCAAGCATTGTCGACGCAGTGGATCTCTTCTGGGCCAGCCTGCTACGCCGAGACGAGCCTGCATGGCAATTCTCAATCCTCTTGCAGTCCCACGTTCACATGATATCATGAGTAGCCACTCAGCTCAACGATACTATCAGATCATCAAGGAATGCAGAATGGCCAAGTTTCAGCAATGTACACGCCATACCTGGGGAGCCGGTAGCAAGCGCAAACGCCCCGGCAATTGCTGCCACGTATCGACCAGTTCGCTCTACCTTAGACCATGACTGTGGACAAGTTACAACCAATCCACCACACCTTGCAGCAGCCCCGTTTGGCATTTGCTAAGCTTAAGTGCCCCAAACTTTTGCACCAATCCGACGGCTCTGTTCCCGGTACGGACCTTAGATCTGTCTGCCGCCAGATGCAAGTGTGGGGGCCCTCCATGCTGCCAACCTTTGGCTAACCCTCACTGAAGGTCTCGTCTGCCTGGGAATGGAAACATTTCGAGAGGTCAAAAAAGGCATATGGGACCGCATACGCTATTCCAACATGAACCATGGGCCCATCCAAATGCCGGGGAACCTAGGGAAAGAGGAGGGGTAAGAGGAATACCGCCCAGGAAGACGCGGGGGAGCAATGTCCATGAGCCATGGCGCGCCATTTCGCACACGATGCCCTGGGATGGTCTTGGAAGTTGATGTACCTTACAGTCTCGGAGCCCAAAAGTTGAATGTTAGACGCCGAACATTCGCCATCCCTTGATTGACTGTCGACGCCCTTCAGCACTGCCCTGCGGGGTCATTTCTCGGCACTCACCAAATGTCTGGGCATCGCCAGATGATCTCAAAATCCAACATGTAATTATCGCCGGACGATATCGCGGCGAAAAAAGAGTCGTCGACGGCTACAGAAACGGATGTCGTTGAGATTGACGCTTTTCCGGCCCTGAGCCTCAACATGCTCTTGATGAGGGGGATTTGCGGTCCAGGGCCGGGGAGGAGAAGCGAAGGGGGGGCAGGTTCCGGGGCGCTGGGCAGCGAACTTGTGGCATGGGGCGCAAGGTGGAATGCGGCCCTAAAGCGCACCGCAGGAAAGGTTGAGGAGCAAGGTCCAGCCTCCAACGGCCCCATCCAGATTCCAGTGGCTGCCACCTCAGGGCCGGCGACGCAAGCTTCAGTTAGGGGCGGTTGCGCCGTGAAGCCACGGTGCTAGGGCCAGGGGGATGTGCACACAGCGTTGGTGTCACTAGCAATCGGCTGGTGGGTAAGGCAACCTGAATCTTGCCGACGTAACATCTGCCTGCCATCATGAGCGGAAGTAGTCTTTCAGGCCGTTTGTCGATGTGACCAGCCTCGGATGAGGACCTGGATACTGCCAATCTGGAAGTGTCGAGTATTCTGTCTCATCATCCACTGAGGCGTACCACCGTTAGGCACAACGCAAAGGCATCCCTGACGCCGCGTTGCCCCCGTTTTACGCGCGAATGGACGAAGTAGACGGAGTACCTTTTTGTCAGCCCAGCTCACGACACGTAGCAGATGAAGACGGAGGGCCGTGGTGCGATGATTGCAAAGATGTCCTCACCAAGTCCAACGTCTCGCGCATGTTCAATATGTTTTACATTATGCAGTTGAACCAGGGTTCTCATTATCTACTTACAGAACCACGTCATTACGTCTTCTCTGCTCGCTGGAAAGCAAATGGTATCATAGAGGAAAATTCCCCCCCCAGCTGATAACGAGACAGGCCCAGTATCCCTTCAATCAACCTCGGACGAACTTTTCCTATGCTGAATGACTACGAAGCCAGCGTCCTCACCCTCTCAAATGGCTTCTGCTCATCAATCTCTTCTTCGCTAAACCAAGTTCCATGCAATCCATACGGTACGCGCTGCGGCAACTTGATCCGAGCCACGACCTCCTTCATCTCTTTCGCGTCAATTATCCACAACTCGCTCGCGGCCTCGGGCGCACATTCGCCCTGTTCATCGAGCTGAGCTTCGTTAAACACGTATGTCAACAACCAACCGTCATCCTCGGAGTCTGGTTCACGCCGAGGTACAAATCTTGGCTCTTGCGCATACCACCCGACGGGCATGCGAAAGAGCTTGATAGGGTCTTGAGGATCCTGGCTCTCCATGACCTGGGCAATGCTACGTGTATCGACACAGCCTTTGACCGGCTGTGGTGGTTGTGCGACGCCTCTTGCTATCAGTGTTTGAACGTCGAACTTGGCCAAGTGGTCAATCTTTGCAGCTTTGCCAAGGGCAACTGTATAAGATGCCTCGCCGGTTGAGCATCCGTAAACGTATCGAGCTTCCTGCATTGAGTACGCTGGTGCAACGGATGGGAACTCCAAGGAGATGGCCGATAAAGCCCACTGGTGTCTGATGTTGTATTGAATCCCGGGGATGGCCGACAGTGGGAAACTGTAGTAGTACAATCGGCACTGCTCCTCCTCAGCGTACTCGGG